GAGTTGCTTATTGTTGCTAGTCTATCCATTGAATAATTCTTATGACCACAAATAAACCTTTCTATCAGTTGTAATACTTATCATTATACTTAGGAAACCCTTCTATCAGTTATTGCCATTTAAGCCATGTGGAATATCTTCTAAACTGATTAACGTCATTGTTGTAATGGTGTATTAAAAGTGAGTAAATTCTGGCTAACTCACTCACAAATGTTGGCGTACATTCTTTGCTAATAGTAACATCGTTTCATTGGGGAGCCATTCACGTTTGCGAACAGCGTAATGAACAGCGCAATAAATAGCGTCCATTGGACTTGACGTTATGTCGGAGATTTGCGAGCAATGAATCCATTCAAGTTCTAAGCATTTATATTCACTTTCCAAGGAGGATTGAATCAAGCTGGGTTATGCATATCCTTAACTCCTAGAACTAATGTTGGAATAAAAAAAGTTTTAGCATTACAAAATGCGGCTTTGTTGTAATGACAAATTTCCACTCTATTCCGCATTCTCGTTTTAACAAAGAAATCATTTATTTCCCAATACCTCGGTATAATGGATTTTAAGATGAAATTGCGTCATACTGTTTACCGAAAAAATTTTCTATCCCATAACAGTATGAACAGATTCGGGTTATTTGTCTGTTTTTACTAGAAGATTAACTATTTGGTGATTAAAAATTACCGTGCCCATGTACATATTATTTATTAGTGTAAAAGTTAAACCCTTTTTTGGAAGTACCTTTGATTATTGAAACAAGTTATTCTGCGGATTCACTTGTTTTAATCTATTCTCACTAATGGCTTAGCACACAAGCCGAGTACGCCTAGAAAGCACCGACTTTTTTATATCAATACTAAACTTTTTAAAAAACAATACTCACTGATTACAGCACTACAGTAAGACGCATAAGATGTACTAAGACTTAGCAACAAAATAACGTTTATAAATATTGTCTAACATTTATTTAAAACATATTACCTTAATAAGTTTTGTAAAACAGAATATTATTAGTTGTCCCTAAAATATGTCCTTCATAGAGTGTATGTTTTCATTAACACTATAGAATTAAAAATTTACTATGTAAACAACATGTATAAACTTTTATTTACATTTCACACTGTAAACAGCAGTATCAATAATGACTTTTTTTATTTACCATTATACTTGATACAAAAAAGGCTAGTAATAGAAACAAACCACTTTAGCAAGTGCGTATGTTGCCACAATCGCATTAATATTAACGCACATTGTGCAGTTTTATTACATCCACCTGTATTACCACATACAACTTTTTGAAATACATTGTAACTGCAACTTTCGGATAAACTCGTGCAATTAAGACAGAATAAAACCCAGAGATTCAAGTCACAGTTATAATATCGTAAACTGACATTCCGGTTTAGGCATCTTCAGTTAGTTGGTAGTAAGTTAGCTGCTCTCCTTCTACAGACTTTAAATCTGTCGTCGGAATTATCTTTCTCTGAATGCTTGCATCACGTGTCTCTCCGCAATAAGCCACTCATTCAACTGATAAAATACAATCACGTGCAAAATAAACTTTTTGATTCCATCACTTATATATACTTTGCCGCGAGAATGAAAACAGCATTTTCTTTCCAAAGCGTAGATGTCAATGGCAAAAAAAAGGTATTCTACTCCGGGCTGACCTATGGACTAACCTATATCGTTTCTGGATTTAACACCGCAAAACCCGTTTCTTTGCAGAACGTTAAGGTTGAGGCAAATGGTAATTACAAGAATAAACATTATTTTGCCTTATAGTACTTTCGACATAGCTAACATATTGCTGAAGGTAAAGATCGATTGGAATTTCTGTCAATTAACAAGAATTCACAGTATACTTATTGTTTTTTCTTGCTTGCAAATTCATTCCCAAAGTCACTATAAGTCAAACTTATGAGAATAAGGAATTGATGGCGATTGAAGCAGTCTACAATTTCTAATATGTGAAGCTACAACCATCTGCGAATTTGAGGCAGTAATCGCACAGTCAGGGGTGTTGTCAAAGAATCTCAGTAGGCCGATAAAGAGAACGATGCAGTGCAGCTTGCATCAAATTGATAGCTTACTGATCACTGTGCGTTGATTGGATGCAATTTACTGAGACTACTTTTTTCCACCTTTTTGATTACTTAAAAGCAATCGCGGTCTTGGCGCGTACCTTTTACGACAAAAACCTCCGAATGCTCAATTGACAATATTACACCAAATTCGTATAACTTACGTAACCGAATTTAAACAAGACTCTGATGCAGCAAGGAGGGCCCGGTATATTCACAGTTATACATTGGACGTAAATGTTGCATGTAGTTATAACAGTGAGTTTGAATCACCCACGCATGCACAAGATTAAAACCGAGATTAATTGAATGGAGATCCAAAGACTTGCAGAGGTCTACTTGCAGAAGAGATAACCCCTGCCTGGGAAAGACTTTGTGCTCGTGTCAAGGGTAAGGATCTATGTATGGATCCAAGTCGTAGTGGAAAAGGTGCAGGGACTTGTCAGAGAACTCGGTGACGAACTGTGGAAAGTATAACAAAATATTTAGCGAATTGATATACGGTCAACCCTCCATAAAAGAACATAGTCGGGACAGCCAGGCTATGTTCTATCATAGAGGTGTTTTCTTATAGAGCTTATTCATTTACTAATAAGTCAGAGTCGTCTATGATAAAATGTTCTTTATGAGAGGTTGTTCTTTTATGGAGGTCCGACTGTATTTATCTATTTACTTTATAGAGCGTTACAGAATACGATTCAAAGACCAAGACAAATTGTACCATGTTGACTCTTGCCCACGTTTAAACTTAAGCCAGTGCAGACCGAAATTATTTTCTTGTGGATTTAGGTACTCATAATCACGTACTTCTATACACGATATTGAATTTTTTTTGCTCAGGTCCTGTTCAATGCGCGGCGGCCCGATAATTAAAGCTCGACAGACGCTTGAACTAATACTTCGCTCTCTGCAATCAAACTGTTTCTTCATTTGGGCTCATCTTACTACGCTTTGTTTGAAATCTATTCCTTACTCAGACTTGCAGGCTTTGGTGGTTCTGAAATCTTATCGGTACTAAAATGTGTTTTGGAAAGTAAGAAAGAAGCCGACCGTCGTGTTTTTATTGACCGACGGTGATTCGGGAACGTAAATGGGTTTGTTCAATTTATCGAGAATAAAGTGAAAGAAAAGAGAAAGACAGTTTGAGATTGTTTTCGTCGGGTATTGGGAAACTCTGCCCGTCATCATTTCGTAAGTACCGGAAGGTGTTCGTCAGGCACAGCAATGAGGAGAGGGTGGACAAAAAAGTTGCTGGAATGGTCAAAATGCTGTTAGGCCGTCACTGACTGACTGCAAAATTTCTTGGGAGTAATGGTTCGGATGCTGTAAAGTATCGTCAAGCACCATATCTAAACAATAAACGACGCATGTGAACTGAAACTTTTCTTTTATTGATAAGATTTAATCTCTCGCTCTTAATGCTTGCCCGCTATAAATTGAAGCATTTGATAACCTGATTACAGGATTACGCAACCGCTTCATCAATATACTCTAGTATCGAATTACGTAATTGCTGCGGCGGGAAATAGTTTATCCTTTTCATCTTCTTCTACCCAAATGATGTCGACAATCAGACATAATTCAGCCTTTGAAGACTTGACTTGTATGATGAACAAACGAGACCTCAATTGTTTGAAATGGTTTGTTGTAACGGAAAAGCCACCTTCCCTTCAATGGTAATGGTAAGGTACGCTTGTACAAATTAGGTGTGGATTTAAACGAGCTGTGCACAGCGTTGTCGCTCTTAACTAAAGATGGTATTGTATGACACAACCGCCACATTCTAATCGCATGCGAAGCTTTGAATCTTGCAGATAGTATTGTCTTGGACACTAATAACAGTTATAACAATAACCTCGCTTTTAGAACAATATATAGAAAGTAAAAAGCTATTTATAAAAACTTTCCACCCGTTGCGACTGTATAACAAGATCACACGCAGCATCATACCTTAACACTCAGGAAACCTCATGCTTACTTATATTACTTTACCATTAAGGAAGACTAGATCGAATTCATTGTTTATGTACTTGTATGTGGCTTGGCTAAATGTGATATCCAAATTTAGTCTTGTCCAAGCCAATGAGGGGCGGCACAACTACAAAGGTATAGGAACATAATAAAGTGTGTCTTAAGCGATACGTCGACTTTATCAATAGAAAGAGTTATGCAAATGAATAGTGAATAATAGCCCGGAGCTTGGCTTATGAACGAATTTAGAAAGATTTCGACTTTAATAGCGGAAGATTATTTTAAAATGTTATGGATTGGTATATTTAATATGGAAAATTCAACCGCTCAACTAGCAATTGTATCCAATTCATACACTATAAAGAATGTTTATGTGCGGCTAAATGCAATATCCAAATTTAGCCGTAGATCTTAAACTACAAAGGTATAGGAACATAATAAAGTGTGTTATCAATAGAAAAAGTTATGTGAATGAATAGTATGATAAATAATAGCTTGGAGCTTGGCTTATGAACAAACTTAAAAATAGTTTTGACCTTGGTGGCGGAAAACTATTTTAAAACGTTATAGATTAGTATATTTTAATATACACCACATTTCCGACTACAATGGCTTTAAACTTTGCTCCGACTGCCAAAAACTCATACTCGTCATACTTAATTTAGACGAATCATGCAAAATACAATTTTATTGTTTATACGCATATATACAACATAACTACCCAGAGAAACGCCATATACGTAGTAACGAAAATATAAATAAATGAAAAACACAAGCAAACATAGAAAAACCTTCACAATTAAAGTTAAAAAAAAAAAACCTCTAACGAAAGTCTTTCAATCAATTACCGAGCAAATATAAAATATTATCATAACAGCATTAATGACGAGCATCACACCCATTCAAATAAGCCAAAAGTCTGACAGCGCCCCATTTTCTACTGCCATGCCTACTTCTCCACCAGCGTCTATATCATATTCTGCAGACACACTTACTTTCAATGAACGCCATCTTTTGGCCAACCCACCTTATACTCTCAACACTCCCATTGACTCACTTATCGATCCGAGACGTGGGCAAAGCATGAATCGAGATTCAAAGTTTCCTCGACCGCCCAATGCATGGATTATTTTTCGCACAAATTTCGCAAACGGACTACGATCTCAGGATTCTATTAATTTGTATAGAGTTCAAGAAATCTCTAAGATGGCTTCTAAAGATTGGAAAAGTCAGCCACCTTTAGTCAAACAGTTCTTCGAAGTTCTTTCTAAATTGGCTCTGCAATGTCATAAAGAAACTTATCCTGGCTACATTTACAAGCCAAGAAGGACAAGACAAAACCGAAGAAAGAATTGGTTGTTTAGAGAAGTGAATACAGAGAAATTTAAAAAACGTCAAATTGATGAAAATAGTACCAAGAAGAAAAACCAAGAAGAAAAAAGAGCCAGTGATCAATTGACTAACTCTGTCCAACTGAACAAACATGAACAATTGAATGAATATGCTCTATCGAGTAACTGTGTTCAATTGAATAAATGTATGCCAATTGAAGAATCAGACGCTTATGTTCAACTAAACGCAAACGCACAACTTCAAACATCGAACAAATATGCTCTATTAAATAACAATTTTCAACTGAACGAACAGCTTCAAGCATTGGACAAATATTGTCTCCCGGATAACTGTGTTCAACCGAACGAATACAAACCTATAGATGAATATTCTCTGGTTCAACACAACCCATTCGATGGAGCACATTTGTGTCTTCCAATGAATGGGTATGATGAACTGATTAGATATATCGACGAACAGCAACACAACTCATTGGGTGAAAGCAGCGAGAGTTTGCACATTAATTGGCATAACATGCAGGATAACGCATACTACGGCGGCGTTCAATCTGATAACAGCAATCAAATAAGCAGTGGCGTAACTGATATTAACAACACACATAGTTCCGCTTCTCTATGCAGTAATAATAGTGATACGTCAAACGCCGGTTTTACTGGCTATCTTTTCAGCGAAAATTTGCTTACAAACCCGCTATTTTATACTAACAACAGCATTTAGTCGCTTGCTATACCAATTTTGAACGAATGTTTACTTGCTTATACACGCAAGTTTCTCTTTTCTACTTTATCTCTCTTCAATAACAGTTGAACAATTGGTTCGTAGTCTCATTATTTATCAAGCCTATTGTAGTTTCAAGTTCAATTTTCATCACAAGATGTCGTAAGTTATGATAAGATTATATATGGATAACAAGGTATATTGACATTAAGATACGTGCGTATTTCCTTCTCTGTATTGGTTATTTAAATGTCCAACTCTTTAGCCAAGGTATTAAATAAAGATTATGGTAAATTTGAAAGTCATGCCCGCCCGCCCGCTGTTGCAAAAACACAAAAAACCGACATTATACTGGAAGATTTTTAGTTCGTCATATTATCTTGACGTTTCTGATTATAAGATATACTTAAATTATGTAGACGTTATGTTTTAAGATTAATCTACTCAACGTTACTCAAGGTTTCTAAAGCTTCCTTGTCTGTTTAATTCCTTGCCAATGAATATGACGAAAGTCAGACTAAAGAGTAAACAACGAAAATAATTAGGTATTTTTCTGAACTACGTACATATCTGTATTACTTGACTCTAAAGAATTATTCTTTATATGACAACCAGATTGTCGTTAATTGTTAAACGAGTTGCTAAACCAAATAACTCAATTTCTAAGTTCGGAAGGAAAAGTAATGACAACGAGTCCCATTTTAAGTCCAAGTATTCTATTAAGAATACGGGTGGACAAAATTTCTTCCCAATAATTCTTATTGTACGTTATAAGACTCTTTCGGTAACATTTTTTTTTATTCTTTGTATATATATAGCCTCCTACACATATTTCTTTCTCCATTTAACATTACACCTCTCTACCCTTATTAATACAAGTCTTTTGTTCTGATTTTCGTACATTTGAATTCATGTATTTGATATTAAGAAAGAATACAAGCTAGAACTTGACTCTTTAAAGCGAGAAAATATGTTAATTTGCTAATGAAACTATAAAAGATGCACATTGAAGTCATTGTGACTAACGAAAACCCTGATTGGCTCGAATGTTAATATTGATTTCAAGAAACTTTTCGTATAGTACGATGACGATTAATACAAAGTCCATTGATACTTTTGCACAGCAGGGGGCTCATTTGCGCATCTCTATCTTTTGTTGTACAGCATTTTTACCATCAGGAACGAGCGAATACTTTTGTACATGGATTGATTGGTCTATCAGTATTATTATACCGATACTGTATATTGATATACAAACTCCACTATTGTATCAGCTTTCCAATCGAGTGTTGACAATGATCGTGAGTCGTGCAAATATTAGGGTACAACTATAGTAAACAAGGCTCAATTCTAATTCGAGCCTGAATCATGATTTCTTTATTCATTAACTATATGTAGAATATAGATGCCCGGCCCGGAGTGTTCCCATGGCCGATATACATTATATTGTGGAGTACAATATCCATAGTGTTACAAACATCCACATACTAATATGGTGCTTTAGTGCACTCTTTATACCCAATTTTTTCGGTGCAGTGGAACGAATAAACTGCCCAATAAAATTCAAGAATTTAATATCATATGATATACCACAAATCGTTTAATATTTTCTTTTAATACATCGATCTTAAAAGTATCTTATTTGATAATTAGTTGATATTGTCCGTAAATGCCTCGTCCAAGTGAACGCAAACTACAGGTGACAAGCAGGAAACGAAACAAAAATGTTGTTTTTTTTTCTGAATTTCAAGAGCAACGACAAGAATCAATAGAGAATGATAATGATGATTGAATGCAAATTTTGGAGAATGGTGAGATATAGTCTGCAGAAGATTGCCGGGAATCTTGAAATGTTGAAAAGAGGTTTGAGTTAGTTTGGAAAGAAGATGCATTAAAAAAATAAGAGAGTCTACTATAATGCTACGTCAAGAACTACTTAATGGCGTAAACGAAAAGCAGAAGAAGAATAAAAAGACACGTGCATTCAGCATTAGAAGAAGCAATAATTGTATCTAACTATATATGTGAGAAGTATCCAAAGTTCCATTGTGAGTGCAATTTTATTGAAAGATACACTGGGTATGCATAACGGGAACGAGAAGGAGATACAGTTATAAATATAATAATTTGGTGAAAATAATTAAACAGTATTTCCATTACAACAATTCGAAAATTTGTGAAAAGTCATGGAGGTATATGGATGAATATGATAAGGGCTTAGAAGGAAGGATGGGTTGAGTGGGCAGTAAAGAAGTATAAATCACATCGTCGATTGCCAGATAATTTTTTTACTTGAAATTTGCCTCGTTAACAAATGTCACATCACACGTGTTACGCAAGTTACTAATTGGAAATGATCACTTTCACTAGGAATGGTGACTGGCGTTTCTCAAATTTCGTATTCAGTCTTTAATTGCCGATCATATGTTTAATAGCCAAATACGATGTTTTCTCAGGTACGCACACCAAATTGAAACTACATAAACGCGATCTTATAAATAACAAAAAATGAAGCCGTTTTATTGGCATTATTATTAGTTTATGATTTTTGTAGGAGTTTTCCAATTATTTTGTAGTAAAGAAAAAAAAACGCTTCATTTTCTGGTAGAGCGAGTGTGAAAGCATCTATCATCTAAGTTTTGAGGTCATAACCGAAAAGCCTTTGCGTTTTGAAGTTTACACGTCTTTGCTATCGGCCAATCATCAGCAAAAAAAAACAACTTCATATTAATATGTAGATTCTCATATGTAACACTATGGATTCGACCCAGCATACAACTAATAACCTTACAGTTTTGCGGTTGCAAATAACAATAAGTCAGCTGTACATGGCAGCATAATGACCGAATGCGAGTAAAGAATTATATTAGACAATATTTTGATTGGATTGCGAGGATGATCACAGGGCGGATCCTGGATTATAATAATGAATGTTACTACTATTACCAATCGAACAATTCCAACAAGCATAAGACATGAAATTCTTTTCAAAGGACATGAAAATGCAGCTATACTCAATCACGATAGACTTGGTGTGTGTATCAGTATAGAACTGGAATAGAGAAAGATGAACAAAAACCAGTTGAATGGTATCAAAAGGTTGCTGGACAAGAATATGCTCAAGCACAATATAATCTTGGTGTGTGTTATCAGTATGGAACTGGAGTAGAGAAAGATGAACAAAAGGCTGTTAAATGATATCAAAAAGCACTGAACAAGAATATGATTAAGCACAAGATAATTTTGGTGTGTGTTATCATGTTGGAATGGAATTGAAATAGAAAAAGATGATCAAAAGGCAGTTAAATGGTATCAAAAAGCAGCTGAATAAGGACATACTGGTGCACAAAATAATATTGGTTATCTATATAGAATAAGCATTAATATAAAGACAGTTTATTAAAAGCAGCCATGCAAGAAGAATATTTTGCACAAGATAACCTTGGTTAGTGTTTTGAAAATGGAATAGGTGTATATAAAAATGTTCAAAAAGCAGTTGAATTATATCAAGAAGCAGTCAATAATTTTGCATATGATAGTCTTGGTTTATGTTACAGGAAGGGAATTGGAATCTTCAAAAAGCTATTAAATTGTTCCAAAGAGCAGCTGAAGCACATGGGCAATATAATTTTGATTGGTGTTATAAAAAGGGAGTTGGAGTAAAACAAGATAAACAGAAAGCTATTGAATTATCAAAAGCAGCTGAGCAAGGGTACATTAAGGCAAAAACCAAATTTTATTTTATTTTATTTTAATATAACGATAGTTCTAAACTAAAAAAAAAGAGTTCAAGAATTATCAGAAGTTTATTCTGTGAAAAAGGGTTAGAATGGAATATTATAACAGGGAGGCAATCATTTCATCGACAATCATTTCACCGACAAATATTCACCAACATTATTTCGAAGATATTTTTTGGTAGTTAATTGTCGGTGAAATGATTGTCGATGAAATAATACGGACCCTTATAACACAATGATGTTTGTTATAATTAATGTGAGATGATCAATATACAAATGTTGAGCAAGACTTAATGTTATTATTTAGCGGAAGTGTCTTTTATTGTTACGGCAAGCCGATCTGATGAATCAGATAAGCGAGTCACATGGTAAAATCTTCCTCCGCAGTCAAGCAAAACCCCATGATCAACGTTAATTTTAGCGTTGCACATTTTTAATGTCAGATACACCGTGTCGGTTTTGAGTGTCAGCACAAGCGCCACTAGCTAACTTAGAATTTGATTGGTTCTTATAGAATTTACAAATTTTTAGTTCAGTTTCGATTTTTGAGTGTAGCTAAAAGTATATAAGCGACCCTTATCATATCGTCGAAATTCTCATGTTGTTAATGTCGTCTAATGTTTTTTAGTTCATATTGAAAAGCAATAGTGCCCACTCCACTGAATAATAATCAAATAAACGATTCTCTTTGAAATCGATTTTTTCATTGTTGAAATATTAATTATTTGTCCGGACACATTAATAAACGGCTCTACCAAGCTGTATAAATTGTCCACTAATCGATTACTCCAAATCGGAGAAAGAGAGAGCTTATAATTAAATATTGAAAACGAATACTGTTTAATTTGTTTATTAGAGACAGTGACAGATACCCGACTAGTCGAAACACTAAATCGAAGATAGCCATGTTTAATTATTAAATAGATTTATTTTCTCTTCGATTTTGCGATAGAATAATTGTTGTTGTTATTTTAACTATAGGCACCATTATTTGGATTGCGAGTAACTGAAGCTCGTATAGGAAGTTAGGAAGCGCGCAATTTAATTATATAAAATAGGTTATTTGTAGATTTAGAATTCACTCTTAACTGAACAATTACCGTGATAATGGCGGTAACGCAAAGCTAAATCTGGAAACATTTTCCGGACGGAAGAATACCCCTACGCGAAAAATTAATTACTCTTCCAAACCCCAGACCATCTAACCGTAGCAATCTTGTCTATTATGGGTGAAATGATTTTTAATATTACATATTGAAT